ATAAATAAACTTAAAAAAATATATGCTACTTTTGTATGAAAGGTAAGGTGGGACAGGCTCCATATTAAATTCACATATATATATATATATATATATATATATATATATACACATAGATATATATGTAAATATTAAAAATATAGGGGCACCTGGGTGGCGCAGTCAGTGAGCGTCCGACTTTGGCTCAGGTTGTGATCTCGCAGTTTGTGAGTTTGAGCCCCACATCGGGCTCTGTGCTGACAGCTCAGAGCCTGGAGCCTGCTTCCCATTCTATCTCCCTCTCTCTCTGCTCCTCCCCCGCTCATGCTCTGTCTCTCTCTCTCAAAAATAAATAAACATTAAAAAAAAATAGGGGCGCCTGGGTGGCGCAGTCGGTTAAGCGTCCGACTTCAACCAGGTCACGATCTCACGGTCCGTGAGTTCAAGCCCCGCGTCGGGCTCTGGGCTGATGGCTCAGAGCCTGGAGCCTGTTTCCGATTCTGTGTCTCCCTCTCTCTCTGCCCCTCGCCCGTTCATGCTCTGTCTCTCTCTGTCCCAAAAATAAATAAACGTTGAAAAAAAAAATTAAAAAAAAAATAAAAATAAATAAATAAATAAATAAAGTACTCTTTGCTTAATTTAAAAATATATATATATTAAAAATACATATGTTACATATATAAACTCTGAAGGGACAGAAGCATAAGAACCTAAGACTGGTGATTTCTCTGGGGGTCAGGGAATGGGAGACAAGGATGGAAGGGAGACTTGTGGCACTTTGGTTTTGAACCATGTGAATGTATAAACTATTCCAAAAGTCACCTAAAATAAGGGGGAAGTTGATAGAGCTTGTTAGGAATTTATATTCTTCCATACAAAATTAAGAATAAATTTGTTGAATTATTAAAAAGAAATCCAGCTGGAATCTTGACTAGGATGAAAACCGTTGCTCCTCGCTACTCTGCTCCTTCCTCAGGTATCAGAAGTGCAACGAAAGATATGAGGGACCGAAGCCAGGGGAAGACCCTGGTCAGGTGGGAACAAGGACCGGAAACGGTCCAGAATTCAGGAGAAAGTCACCAAGTGGCACGTGGCTGTGGTTTTCCTTTTAAACTCCGGCCATTCAGAGAACCATCTATTCCACGCCTATGTTTGCCTGTTTTATTAAGGAATTACATCTCAGTCGGTTAAGCACCGACTTCGGCTCAAGCCATGATCTCGCGGTTCGTGAGTTCGAGCCCCGCATCGGGCTCTGTGCTGACGGCTCAGAGCCTGGAGCCTGCTTCGGATTCTGTGTCTCCCTCTCTCTCTGCTCCTTCCCTGCTCAGGCTCCGTCTCTCTCTGTCTCTCAAAAATAAATAAATGTTAAAAAAAAAAACAAAAAAAAACTAAAAAAAAAAAGGAATTACATCTCTGGGAAGGAAGAAAAGAGAAGTATTGAACAGAAGTCTTTAGAACATCTCTGTCCGTGAGCAACCCCTACTTGAAGCCTAAGTGGTAGATAAAAACCTCATCACCCACCTGGCGAAAGGTCATCTTAAGTGCGGGCAGGGGCGCTCGAGAAAAACTGCCTTGGTCCAGCTGAGTTTACAAATCCAGACCCAAAGAGGGCAGACTGGCATGCTTTGCAAGCTTGTTTGCTTTCATTTTTCTGAACATCAGTCCGGCTTCTTGTCCTGAAGGATCACAGATTCCAAATTGGTAGAGTCAAAATTAATGAGATTTCCCAGTAATGAGCCTAAGACTAAAACTATGGAAAATCCACTAATTATAGACTACGCAGCCACCTATAACCACTACTTGGAGCCAGGCCTCTGTGGGGAGGAGGGAGAGGAAGGTCACAGATGCAACCTGTGCCTGACCGTCCTTCCTTCCTGCTGCCCCTGCCCTTCTCCCTAGGCTAGGGGGCCTCACAGCACCCAGTGCTTCCTGCCTCTGAGCTCTGACCCTGCCCCCACCCCCACCAGGTCAAGCTAGGTCCTGCTTCTAAGGGCTCTGTAAGGCCAAGTTCCTGGAAACTACAAAATAGGGCCCAGAGTGGAGGTGGGGGGCATGTTTTCCCCCTCAGTTCTGGGAAGCAGTGGGGGAGGGATGCCGGGAGAAGGAATAAGGTAGAAAAGGCAGACGAAATGCCCATTATACCCAAGCCCGTCAATTTCCTTTTTTCATCTCTTTATCAGTGTTTGTGACTGAGCTTCTTATCAACAGGAAACGCCTGCCTAAGGGGACAGGGCAGGTCCAGGGGGACTGGACGCCAGGGATTGGGAATTCTGGGTAATGCACCACTGCTGTCCAGCCTGACCGAACGGCCTCACGATTGCCAGGACCCAGTAAGGCTCTTGGCCTTGGCATCTGGTGAATCCTTAGGTCTACACAGCAAGACAGCACACCAGACCGGCCCTGAGGCCAAAGGTCTGCAGGAGGGTGGGGCTCCACCTCTAGCCCTCCATGACCAAGGACAAGTTACCAAACAGCTCAAGCCATGAAGTAAGAATTGCCCTTATCCCTAAAACCCACCAAACCCCCTCCTTTCTAGCTGAGGAGAGGCCAAATGACCTACCAAGGTCACAGACGACTTAATGGCAATCGCCCCAGTTGGCCCTTCTACTGTGTTTGCCTTCAGCCCTCAGAGGATGGCACCTGTGCTGGGCCTCCAGGCCTGGGACAATTAGGTACTTGGCACGACTTCTAGATGAAGGGAGGAGAGGGGCTCGAGCACTGATTAACCTCCTACTATGTGCCAGGGGCTTTAAAAAACACGGATCCTCACTCCAGGCTACTGGTTTCCCAGACGGGGCTCCCAGGAGAGGGACAGACTGAGGGTCAGGTTTCACGGGACGCTAAGATCAAATCTTGGTGCTGAAAATAAACGCCCAAGAGGGATATCTGGGCCAAGCAAGGCTTTATGGGTGGCTCAGAGGAACAGGTTTATCTAGACGTCTTTCTTCAGACTGGCAGACGACTGAACCAAGAGTATGAGAACTGGCTGTTCCCCTGGTGAGGAGAGACAGGAAAGGTTTCTGTAGAACAGAGCTTGGGCCACCTTGCTGCCCACTTCCTGGCCCTCTGGCCTACCAGTTGCTCTTGAGAGGCCACACTCTGCTTTTGGAAATTCCAGCGTGCCTCTTGCCCTGTCCTTGTGTCTCCCCGGACAACCCCACTCTTCCCTCTCACCTCACCACTTGCGCCTCCAGTTGGGATCTAGGTCAGTAAGAGTGGGTGGGTGAGAAAGAACAGAGAAGAGACTCATCCAGACGTGACACCCCGCAGGGCAGCAGTGACAACACTTTAACCTGAAATCTGCCTGAAAATAGACTGTGTCTATGACATTATGCAAATTATATGCAAAGTCAAGAAGCCCTCTGTCTCTATTTCTAGCAAACTGAATGTGGCCCTGGTGTTAGCAGCTCCTTCCAAGAGTCGCCCACCTAGAGTGACGACGGCAGTTCGCATCAGTCCCCAACCTGGGAGACTGGACTCAGGACGGGCACCCCTCCACTCCAGCCCCAGGCCTGGGTCTTTTACACATGAGGACTGTTACGTCTTGGTCTGTTAATCTTGATGCAAGTGAGGAGTTGGAGAAGCACAGCACCCTCCTTGAAGGTGATGTGGGGTGGGCCTGAGGGACATTGGTGACTGGGAGGAAGGGAGAATTGTCCTTGAAGGCCTGGGTACCGCGAGGCCCTGGCAGGGGAAGGTTGGTCCTCAGCCTCAAAGCCCATGCTCTAGAGACCACCTTCACCCCCCCACTTGGGCATGTTACAGGCACTCATCACCCCTAGGGAGGGTCCTTATTACACAGACAATCCTCTCCCTCTTCGCACAGGTAAGGACATTAGAGTTTGGGGTCCCCTAGGAACATAGAGCAAAACACTAAAGAAGTCAATGGGTTTCTTTCTTCCACAGGCAGGCAGGTTCCCGAGGCTCTACATGGCACCTCCCAAGGGCACGGTGACCTCCCAAGGACTCTTCTACCCCTGGAGGGCAATGAGCCAATTCTCCTTTGTCCCACCCCAGCCATAGCCAACCACAGTGTGGCCATCAGGGTGGAGATGTAAGGACCAGGTCGGGTGGCCACAGGGAGGGGAAAGGCTGCCTTTGTGGGACACCAGGAACGCTCCAATTTCCACAAAGCTGGTCTGAGAGGTCCTCTGGGGAGGAGGGCACTGTCTGTTGTGGGGAGCTCCATGGACACAGGCACCGGGAGGCTGTAGCAGGCTCTAGGCATAAGGCCAACTGGGGGGGCCGCAGGACATAGGGTCGGTCCTCTGTGATACAATCAGGGCACCCTTTCTGCGGTTCCCTAACAGGGCCTCTGATACAAAGGCACAGATTTTTCTGGGCTGAGACGTCAGATGGACGAGTCCCTTCTCTACTTCTTGCAGTGCCTTTCTCCTACATGGCACGTCCTTGCCCCCACTGTCCCGGGGTTGGGGGTGGTGGGAGGTGTTTTCCAAGCCCAGGACGCCAAGATGGGTCTCCGAGGATGGTGAGGTCCTTACCAGTCCAGGGGTGAGGGCCGACTCCCGGCAAGGTGGGGGCCCCATTTGGGGAGGGACTTGAGAACAGAGAAAAATCGAGGCAGACGGGTCCAAGCTGCCTCTGAGTGAAGACACAAAAGAGCGCCTTCCTAGGTTTTCGGGGGACAGTCCCTGCAGACTGAGACCCAGCGCAGCTCACGCACGTGCACGCCGGACGCGCAGAAGGCGGTCCAGCCTTGGGAAGGGCCCGCGGGTGCCTGCGCAGGGGCGGGGCGGGGCGGGGCGGGCGGCGGCCGCCCGGCAGCCCTTGGCCAGCAGAGGGCGATGTGGCGGACGCCTCGATCTGTCTGCTCAGGGGCAGAACTGAGATTTGGGCCGCGGGCGGGCGTGGGGGGAATGATCCTGCGCGAACTTGTGACTTGTGCGTGAAGGGCAAAGACCGGGCATGATACTCAGGGACTCGCTCCTTCCCTGTCCCTTCTGGTTCCCTCTGCGACGAGCCACTGCAGAGGAACCAGCTTAGCAAGACTCAGCAGGAGCTCGAGATTGGACCATGGTTTATTGAGGACCTACTGTGTGCTGAGCACGAGCTGAGTGCTCCCACAAGCAGGATCTCCAGGTAAGAGGCTGTAATTTGGGCCCTGGCACACCTTCCTGCACTCAGACGGAAGCACCGGGTGCTCTGCTCTCACCAAAGCCTCTTTCCATCCCTGACCACTGGCCGTAAGCCGGCCCCTGTCACTCCACTTCCCGCCTCAGACCTTCACCCCCTCAGGCATTTTCCAGCCTCTGGAGAGCTGCTGCCTTTGGAGTCCCAGGAGGAGCCTCTTTGCTCCCAAATCCAGCAGAGATAAAATCTGTCATGGGGAAGACTGACTCCTGGGCTGAGCGGGTTCCAGTAACCAGAAGACGCAAAACTGCCGGGAAGTAAACTGCCCTGTGATCATCTGAGAACCTAACAGGTCCCTCTCACTTTCTGTTTTCACCAGTTTCACTTCCTGGTTCTCCTTCGGGCCTTGCACAACTCAGGGAGCCAGGCCTGGGAAAATGCCACGGTGCACGCAAGCCGCCCCTGGGTGGGGGCAGGGGGGGGGGGTGCTGGGTCATTTGCAGCGGGAGGGAAGGAGGCTGTATTTTTGTCACCTCCTGTGGAGAATGGTGGGTCCTTCCCTGCCCCAAGGGCTGAGAGGCCAGGTCTTCTGAGCTTGGGACTGTTCTCATCCCTAGCCTGAGCCCTCCCACCCCACAAACCTGAGGCTCTACCTCCTCAGGTTTTGGGGTAACCAGCCCAGGCTTTGGGGTAACCTCTCCATCACATGGACATACACCCTTGACGTTGCCAAATGCTGAACATTCCACGTGTTTCTCCACAGCCATCAGGTGGTTCTTAGACACACACGGTCTGGGGTCTGGCCAAGACTGTGGGCCTGGGCCAGGGACCAGTGGAGAGCAGGAACCTGGGTGCTGGAGGCTTGCTGGCTGGAGCCAAATTTCTTCTGAGCCTCAGAGGCCCTGCAGGAAGCCGGCCCTCAGCCCTTCTCAGTCCTGGACAGAGAAGGCTAAGCCACAGCGGGGTGAGCGGCCGGCTTGCCTGCCCAAAGGCCCAGGGTTGTCTGGGCCCAAGGATGGCGGCTGGTTTGAGTTAAAGCAGGAACTGGAGCTTGCAGAATTAGTCTAGGAGGCCCTTCAGGCACTCCTGGCCTCAGATAAAGTTCTTTTCAAATCCCCATCTGGAGGCAAATTGCCAGGGGCTGGGGGGCAAAAGGAGCAGAAGGGACTGATGAACTGAGCTCTGACACCGGCTGAAATTTCAAAGAAACCTCAGAGGACATCAGGACTGTGGGACAGTGAAGGTCCTGGGACAGTGAAGGCCTCATTCTTGTCACGTAGAGCAATTACCTAGGACCAGAACCTGAGTCTCCTGACTCCCAGCTGAGTCTTTCCCCAGCTGCGCTGGGCTTCTGAAAGCCAAGCTTTCAGTTAGTCCGAAAGTCCTGGGCCTCACCCGTCTGACCTGCTACCTCTGCACTGTCCTCTGACCCCGCCACACCTGCAGCAGGACTCCCTGGGTGGAACGCCCTAATAAGGCAGCTAGGATGGAGGTGGGGGAGGGGCCCAGGATCCGGGCCCCAGCTCTCCCAGATGGTTGGCGGCTGGTGCTCAGCTGGTGGGGTCTTGTCCCGGAGACAGAGGCCCCAGGCCTCATAGAGCTGAGATAGAAACCCACACAGAGAAAATGACAGGCCCTGGGTGTCTGTCGGGCTTGTGCCAGAGGCTGAGACCTGGCAGGGCAGGATGTCTACTGAAGGCTGGTGACACAAGGCCCTGTGTCACCCGGGCAGGTCTGGTGGGGCAGTGGGGTTAACTGAGGGCAGGGGGTAAAGTGCAGGCCTAGGCTCTGGGCCCGGGGACTGGGATTCCCTGGCCTGGCCACCCTGGCTCTGGGGCCTCTTTTGCATCCTATCCTGGGGGTGGTAGGGGCTGTGCCCCAGGGCGTGAGGGTGGGGAGAGAGCCAGGCGTCAGGGAGCCTGCTTCTCTGCGCTGGGCCAGACGGCGGGGGGATCGGGTTTCAGCCCAGCTGTATTTTTGGCTGGATGAGCCGGCAGGCGGGCACAGCGGCCCAGAGAGGGGCACCCTCCTCCCCAGCACGCGTACTCACGCCACCTCTACCCAGACAGGGCACCCACCGTCTGCCACCCACCCCACACGCACTGCAGGTACAGGGGAGTCAGGCTTCAGGCCTGTGGCTAGCGAATCACTTTGGGCTTCTCGAGACCGTTGCTGAGTTTCTGTAGTGTCTTCTTGATCCGCAGAGCCGTGAGGCGGGCAGAAGGGTTGGGGTACCAGCACTCCCGCATCATCTGAGCCAGGCCTGAGAGGACCTGTGGGGGGAGGGGGGGCAGGGAGAGGCAGAGGGGAGGAATCAGAGACACAGATCAGGGAAGATGAAAAGGAGGTGGTGAAAAGGGGGCGGCGCCCAAATGGGGGGACATCAAGCGGTACAGAAAGGACCCGATGGGGGAGATAAGAGCATCGAGGAAGGGCAGAGGAAAGACAGAGTGGTAAGAAAGGGAACGGAGGGCAGGAGAGGAGAAAGACGAAAGATGGAAGGGGAAGACAGTGGAGTGACGAAGGGTGGAAGGTGGCAGGCGGGACAGAGAGAGAGCTGTAACTCAGCCCTTCGGGGGCACTCAGGCCCCCTTCGGTGAAGAGTGTCTGGGGAACACCTTACCCTCACCCACCCCCCACCTCCGCCAAGATCCGAGGAAGGGGAGACATGCAAGCCTCGGAGCCTCCACGTGCCCCGTGCGGCTGGACTCCAGGGCGGAGGGAGGGACTCCCTGGCAGGGCCCCGTGGATACTGGAGGAGGGTCCAGGAGGAGCCCGTCCCAGGAAGCTGAGTGGTCTGAGACTGAACGAGCAGCACCTCTGCCTCAGAACTCGAGCTGGTTCCCGACAGGGAGTGTATGTGATGTGTGTGTGCACAGCACTGCCTATGCGTGGCTTTTTATGGATACGCATGTTGTGCAGAAACACGTGTCTATGTACATGTATGTATATACATGCATATTCATTCCTTCAATAAACATTTGTTGGGCATTCTGAGCCAGGCACTGTGATAGATAGCTGGGATACAAGGCAGCGAAGGAGACATGTTCTTTGTCTTCACAGGGCCAACCGTCTGGCATATATGTGCATGCATATGTATCTGTGAGTATATGTTTATGTAGAAGCATGTGCATGCCTGTATGTGTTTACATACACATGTGCCTGTGTCTTATATATGTATGTGGAGTGTTTCGAGAAAAAAACGAAAACAAACAGCAACAACAAAAAAACTCCATAGCAAGAAACGTGGCAGAGAGACTCTGCCTTTTCAGGCAAAATGGAGGGTTCTGAAAATCCAACATTTCAGGGGTCCACAGGCCACGGATGTGGGAGGTCAGAGTACCCCCGGACAGACCCTGGAATCCACCCTCCAGAATCGATCCAGGTGAACAGACACCTGAGGCACAAGTTCCCGGGGCCAGAAGTCCTAGCCGTGAGCCACCGCCCCGTGCCATCCCAGCCCCCGGGGAGGCCTCACCGGGTCTGCGGTCAGCCGGTTGGGGATGGTGGGGGTCTGCTGATCAACACACACCACCTTCTTCATGTCCTCAAAGCTGGGATCATTGGGCACCACGTCATAGAAGGGTGGCCGGTAGTCCTCCACGATGCCTGAGGATGGGGGAGGGGGGTGGTGGGACAGTCACTGGGCACCCCAAGAAGGCCCCACGCCACCCTGAGGAGAGGCTTGCCCATCTTCTGTTCCACGGTCCGGAAAACCAGGTGTCTTGACCCATGCTACCCTGAGAGGGATGCTATGACATAATCGATACGTGCACCAATAATGATAATTACTGCTAATTTTGCACCCGCCATGTGCCAGGCATTGTGCTATAAACACTTCAATGCTTCCTTTTGTTAGCCTTCACGACAACCCAACGCGATGGGTATTATCGTTACCCCTATTTTACAGATAAAGAAACCGATGCTCAGAGGCGTTGAGCCCCAGGTGACACAGCTAGTAAGGGTAGAGTCAAGATTTAAACTCACCTTGGGGCACCTGGGTGGCTCACTCAGTTAAGTGTCTGACATCGGCTCGGGTCTCATGGTTTGTGAGTTCCAGCCCCCGAATCAGGCTTCACGCAGACAGTGTGGAGCCTGCTCGAGGCGGTCTCTTTATCCCTCTCGCTCTCTGCCCCTCCCCCGCTCATGTTTGCCCCCTCTCTCAAAATAAATACATAAACTATATAAAAGTATTTTAAAAAGAAAAAGACTTGAACTCATCTCATTGGATTGCCAGGCCAGACCTTGTTTCAGTCTTTCCGTGGCTGCCTCCTGCCCGGGGTCTGGGCACTGCTCCCAGGCCCCAACCATCACAGATGCCCGATAAAAACGTTTACTGGGCACGTTCCCTGTGCCAGGCCTGGTCCTAACTGCACTGCATTAAATCTTCACAACAACCCTCTGAGTAAGTCATGCTATTAGCTCCACTTTATGAACGATGTAATTGAGGCCAGAGAGGTTAAGACACTTGTCTGAGATCACACAGGTAGTGAGTGACCGAGCTAAGATTCAAGCCCAGGAAGTCTAACCAAAGCCTGTGCTCTTGACCTCCAAGCTATACTTAAGAGAGAGAAGCTGGCCTGCTGCGGGGTGCGGAGGGAGAAAGGGATCTTCACCCGGCTCCAAGTAACACCCACCCACTCTGAGACACGGCACAGGCCTCGCTGACCCCTTAGCAGGCAGTACTACCTCTCCTCACTGTCCCTGAGGAGAAGCCTTCTGAAAATGATGCCTGTGGAGCTGCAGACAGCGCAGGCAAAAGAGGCCAGACCTAGACAAGGCGCCCCGAGCCCCCCTGCTTCCCAGCCTGAGCCTGGGGGCCGTGGCCACACAGCCGCAACCTCAGGAGGGCCCGCGCCAGCTGTTCTCCCCGTGGCGGGCTTCCAGGCCGGCCCCTGCGCCTCTCGAGCCCTAATCAGTGCTGCGCAGAGGCCTGAGCGTGTCTAATGGGCCTTTAATCAGTGCCGGGGCTGACACCAGATTACAGTGTTTATAATGCGCCACGAATCTGTGTGGGGCTGACAGAGCTTCCCTCCGCCCCAGGAGCCTGCGGTCAGCCTCCCTTGCGGCCCTGGCCGGTCCAGCCTTCTCGTCCTGCCTGCAGACTGGCCCAGGGGGTCTCGGCTCCTTCCAGGTGCCCCCTTCCCCAACCCTAGTGTTCAGAGCCTACTCTGGGAGCGTACGTCTGAAGGGGCAGGAATCTGAGCCCCTCCAGAGTCTCCCAGAGGGACTGGCTCCACTCTGGCCTCTCTCTACCAGTCAGCGCTGAGGGTAAAAGAAGGCTGGCATGGGGCTGGCTCCTAGCGGATGCTCAGGCAATGAGAATGTCCCTGTCCCCAAGGAACGGAGCTCCAGTTATATCCTGAGGTTGGCCCCAACCTGTCAGGACCTCCGGCAATCCCTCCCCACAGACAGCCTCCACAAAGACTGACAAGCCTCCCCACCTGGTCCAGGGCTGCAGGGCACCAGCCACAGGTCTGCCCCAGCAAGGCTGAAGTCCCTCCAACTGTTCCTAGCCCCTCCAAAGGCGCCCATGTGTAATAATGAGGCAGCGATAAGCAGGCAGTGCAGACACTACTATATCCTGCATTTTTATAGCAAAGAAACCAAGGACCAAAGAGGTTTAAGTAGCCCAGTGATAAAGAGCACTAGCCCCAGAGTCATATTGGCCTGGTTTCAGAACCCAATACTGCCTCTAGCCAGCTGAGATTCTGTACCTCAGTACCCTCATCTGTGAAATGGGGATGATACCATGTCAGGTATTCGTTATTACAATAAATTGCTGCTAATATTTACTGAGCCCCAGAATACCTCCAGATACTGTCCTAAGATTATCTCAATTAGAAACTATTAAAAAAATTGTTTTAATGTTTACTTATTTAGAGAGAGAAAGAGTACGTGAGCAGGGGGAGGGGCAGAGAGAGAGACTCCCAAGCAGGGCACAGAGCCCGACTCGGGGCTTGAACTCATGAACCGTGAGATCATGACCTGAGCCGAAAACAAAAGTCGGGCGCCTAACCGACTGAGCCACCCGGGTGCCAATACTAGAAACTATTTTTATTCTCATCTCCAAATGAAATGGAGGCACAGAGAGGTTAAGTAACCTGCCCATGGTCATAATCAGGAACTGAACCCAGGCAGTCTGATTCCCAGCCCATGCCCTTAACCGCTAAGTGATACCACCTCCTGCCAACACACGATGATTAAAGAACATCATCCGTGCATATAGCAAGGCACATGGCACATATTTAAGCTCAATAAAAGTTAGCTGCTATCACTTATCCAAGATTTCACAGCCAGACTCATAGATTTGCAGAGCCACACCTTAAACGGTCACTCAACTCGACCCTCATGCCACGGGCACCAGCCATGGCAGGAAGCCCCTGTCTCCTGCCTGTCTGCTTGTCTATCCACCTGCCCCATCCCTCTTTCTCCACCCTGTGCGGGGTGGGCCCTCACCATTGACAATGGTCCGACGGGCGATCTCCCACAGCACCAGGCCAAAGGCCCAGATGTCTGTCCACTTGTAGGACTCGAAGCAGTCGGTGCGGATCTGCTCTTCCAGCACCTCGGGGGCCATGTACCGCTTGGTGCCCACTCGTGGGTTGTTTCCAATGTCCAGGTAATCACTACCCTGGGAGTGCATCACAGCCAGGCCTGTGGGTACCAGGCCTGTCACTCCTGCCGCTCGCCCAAGCCCCCAGAGTAGCCCCGGAGGCTGGGGTGCAGGGGGCAAGGTGGGGATGGGGAGAGATGGTGAGACATAGAGTAGCAGGCGAATGGAGACCTGCCCTGCGGCGGGCTGGGAGACAGCAGCCACCGGGAGAACCACCTGCCCCGGTTAGATTCTGCTCGTGTAGCTCTCCTAGGTGCCCAAGGACCCGGAGAGACGTGAGTAGGCAAGGCAGGTGCAATTATGCCCATTTCACAGAGCAGAACCCCAAGGCCCGGTGAGGGGAGCCATGCAGTCAGTGAAGCCAGGATGAGAACCCAGGTTCTTGGAGCCCTGCCCCTTTCTCCCAACTGCTGGAGCCAGAGCGGTATGCCGGAAAGAGTCTGGGCTTGCAAAGCGTCAAGGCAGCTTGTGGGGCTCTCGCAGAGGTGAAATGAGACAACACACATGCCTGGAGGGATTAAAGCGCCCATCAGTAGTTGAGTCGTCGCCACACTCAGGAACAGGCAAAGGCAGAGAACCTAGTGAGGGGGAGAGTGCTCGAACCCCGCGCCCCGCGAAGGGCCCGCCCTACCCGGGCGGCTCACCCAGGTCGGCGATGCAGCACTGGAGGTTGCTCTTGACCAACACGTTGCGGCTTTTGAGGTCCCGGTGGGCGATGGCCGGTTTGCCCTGCGTGCCGAAGATCTCCACGTGCAAGTGTGCCAGGCCGCAGGCGGCCGATACAGCCAGCCTCAGGGCCAGCTGGGGCTCCAGCGTCTGCCTCTGCAGAAAGTCATAGAGTGACCCATGCTCGTGGTAGTGCGTGATGAGCCACAGCTGCGTGCTCGAATTGCGGGAAGTCATGTCCGAGGCGATAAAGCCTGTGGGCAGAGGGTCGGGTGGCTCAGGCAAGGGGCTAGGGATAAGGGAGGCCGGACTGATCGGGTCAGGGCAAAGCTGGGGCTGGGGCTCGGGTGGAGGCAGGTCTGGCTTAGGTCAGAGAGGAAGCTGGGGTCAGCGGTTGAAGCTGAGGGCTGACGGGAGTCCTTCAGGACTAGGTCGGTTGTCCCGAGGCCCGGGGACTCCATCCTGGAGTCGGTGGGGGGGGGGGGGCACTGAGAACCCCGGCCTGGCTTAGCATTCCCCGCTTGCCTAGAATGTTGTCGTGTCTGAGCAGCACCGTGTTGTAGATCTCCGTCTCCCGGAACCAGGACTGTTCATCCCTTGAAGAGAAGATCTTGATGGCCACGCTCTCACCATGCCACAGGCCGCGCCACACCTCGCCGTAGCGGCCCTTTCCTGATCCGATGGCCAGAGGGGTGGGAGAGGGTCACATACTGGGCACACACAGCCCCTGGGCATGGGAATCCCCAGAAGAGCCCCCATCTTCATTCTGCACTGACCCCAATTGCAGAACCTCTAATGTTTATGTTTAACTTAATCCGGGCCCACCCTCGTTAGCCTTGTTCCTGCCAACACCTACAGAAGGATCTAGCCCTGACCCATCTCCAAGCCACTCCCTGCCCAGCAGAATTCCCATTTGGACCCAGGCCTGGTCCAGACTCAGAGGCCAAGAGCTTGCTCACTCCTGTGCGCTCATGGGAGCCCTCGGTCCGATCGCCCAGGCTCACCTACACACTCCACCAGGGCCACCTGCCGCGCCACTGTCCTCTGCACCAGGAAGGGCAGTCCTGAGCCACTGCCCGTGGTGCAGTCACTGTCCAGGAGATCCTGGGGGTACAGAGAGGCCACTGAGAGGCTGCCCCCACCTGGCCCAGCCCATTTCTTCCTCCTTAAGCTGGGCCCCCGCTGCTGTGTCCCTACAGGCTCCTCCCTTGCCCAGCGGCATCTCCCCCCCACCCCCCACCCCGACTCAGATCTCTGGGTGTCTGTGACTGAGTCTTTCTCAGCTCCTGTCTGGCTCCTATCTGATTCTCTGGCTCCCGTCTACCCAACCCCCACCCCCGAGGACCCAGGCACCCCCAGGCTTGTACCCCCAGCATGCTGTCCCCCTGCTCCGACGCCTTCAGGATGAGGCTGGACTCGCCCAGATCGCTGTGCAGACCCCTCTGCTTCTCCCGCCTCCGCCGCCGGACATGCCACAGGCCCAGGGCAGCCAGGGCCACCAGGACCAATAAGGCCAGCACAGGGCCCAGGATCAGAGGCAGCTGGCCGTCTACTTTCGGCTGTTCTGGAGGAGTCTGGGTGTCTGGTGGAGGGGGCGGGGAGGACACTGAGGCCCAGCTTCCACCAAGCCAGATTCCCCCCCATTTGGCCACTCTGCCAGGTATATCCCAGGGTCCTTCCTCCCCCGCCCTCCTGGCCAGAGCAGGAGCTGGAGGCAGGGCAGGGAGGACAGGGACTAAGAAGACAGGGAAGGGTTGCTGGGGTGGCCACACGTACCATCCAGTGCCAGAGACACGTTTTGGTTGCACAGGGGGCTGTAGCAGCAGTAGTGGTTGACGAACTCGGTGGGACGCCCCTTGCATAGCTCCTCGTGCAGGCTCCCACAGCCCCGATGCTCCTGGGGTTGTCCGCCCTCCTCCCGTACCAGCACTACTATGCACCAGGCCCCCTGGCAGGTGGACCCCCTGCAGGTTGGACCCTCACACGTGCAGGTCACCAGCGGGCCCCGGGAGGGCTTCACAGGGTCTCCTGTGAGACACAGCGGAGGCTCAGCCACTCTGGGCCCAACTCCTAGGCAGAGACTAACAGCCATGCCTGTCCCACTGCCCCTCCCTTCTGACCTCTCAAACACACCCACTGAGACCTTGGTCCTCCAGTCCCATCCTTAGATTATCCTCCCCTCCAGAACCTGACCCCCCCAGACACTAGGAGAACCAGGCTTCTGTCCCCTCCCTGATCCTAAGACCTTCCCTCCCAGTTCTAGGCCCAGCCCTGGCCCCCGGCCCCAACCCTGAGGGGTCTCCCAGGTGCCCCCTGCCAATGTCCTCACCCTCTGCACCCCCAGGTGGAGGTTCCCACCGTGGAGGCTGGTAGAGCACCAACCTGTGGGTTTGGATCAGGAGGACAGCAAAGAAGGGTTGGGGTAGCTGGGCATTTAGTCTAACTGAGCCTGCCTCTCACTCTCCAGCCAAGCTCCTAGGTGCCCCCCTCTCCCCAGCTCCTCAAATTCAGCCCCAGCAAGAGCAAGAGCAAGGTCCTTTCTCTATCCAGGACCCTGTCCCCTACCTGCTTCCCTAAGTACTTACCCTGGGTCAAGCCCAAGGCCATCAGTAGCATCAGAAAGCCTCTCCTGAGGGAGTCCAAGGTCATGGTCCCTGGAGAAGAGAGGGGGTACAGCAACATCTGTGAAATGTGATCCCTTTGGTGTTCTCAGCCGCTAACTGTGGGTCCCTCCCACCTAGAGGAAATCACTGGGAGTTTTGGGGGGGGGCACAGGGAGGCCTCCTCCCTACTCCCTGTGTCTGGCTTTGGGGCGGGGCCTGCAGGGGAAGTCCTGGTTCACTTCCCCATGGAAACCATCCTGTTAGGGGTAAAGGGTAGAGAGCCATATTTAAGTGACAGAGAGCTTGGGGGACTCCTAGCTATTTACCCCTACTCCTGAGTTCAGATGGGAGGGCACAGAGGGCACAGGGCCAGGGTGGAAGGAGAGTGTTTTTAGCAGTACCCCCCACTCCTGTCCTCTGCCTCTTACCCACCCCTTTCCTGGTGCCGCCATCCCCCTAGCCCTGGCTGCCTCAAACATAAACAGGCTCCTGTCTTCACTTCCTGCCATTCAGGGTCCCGCCAAACTGGGAACAGGAATCAAGATTGTTTAGATTGGGGTCTGGATAGAACAGGCAGGAGTCACGCACAGCAGGGAAGGAGCTCAGGGCTATTCTCAGGGCAGGCTGGGGTGGCTACAAGGTCTGGAGGAGCCACACGGGGCTGGGACACCCCGTGACAGAATTCTAGGGGGATGCCTTGTGAACCACAAAACCCAGCTCCTTATTTTAGAGAAGATGGAGATTAGGCCTCAGACAGGGCAGGAGACTTGTCCAAGGTCAGACAGGACTCAGTGGCAGCACCAGGAGTGCGACCCAAGTGCCCAGACTCCCAGTCCAGTGCTTTCCCCACTCTGTCTCCCAATTCAGGTGGCAGCCGAGGTCTGAGCCCTCAGGGCGGTAACAACCATACAAACTTGGACAGCGCTGGCTCAGGCCAGGTATGAGGAAACCTCTCTACAATTTCACCAGAGCAGAAGATGCCCTCTCTGAGCCATTCCCTGGCCGCCTTCCTCCTCTCTCCTTGCTGTCCTGGGAAAGGGTGGGGGTAGGGCCATTGATGTGGGAGGGGAAGTGAAACATACTTAGACACTGAATGTTTGACCTTCCACGGCCAGTTAAGGTTGAACTTTTCCAGAAGTTTGGTAGAGAATGTTAAGGAAGTAATTCTGATTGGGGCGCCTGGGTGGCTCAGTCAGTTAAGTGTCCGACTTCAGCTCAGGTCATGATCTCGCGGTCCATGAGTTCAAGCCCCTCACTGGGCTCTGTGCTGACAGCTCGGAGCCTGGAGCCTGCTTCCGATTCTGTGTCTCCCTCTCTCTCTCTCTGCCCCTCCCCCGCTCACACTCTGTTTCTCTCACGCGCAAAAATGAATAAATGTTAAAAATATTAAAAAAAAAAAAAAGGAAGTAATTCTGATCTATGATAGTCCCCAACTCAGGTCCCAAACCACCTTGTGCTTCAGAAGCCACCCCCTTCTTCATTTCTCAAAGGCTTAGAACTAGAAGAGAAGGATGGATGCTGCAGCAAGAAGGACTGAAGTCAGACAGCAAGAAGGACTTCCTGAGTGGTGGAGAGTGTGCAGGTGTGTGCCTGGGGATCCAGTCCCCAGGAGCAGCTACCACCAGGCTGGGGCGGGCGGGAGGGGGGGGGAGCTGGGGCGGAGGGGGTCTTTTGGCATAACACAGTGAGGCTGGTAGGGCTGGATGTATGGCCACATGGGCTTCCGAAGGGCCATAGTCTAAGAATGGTACCAAATGAAGATCCATGGTACTGAGGCTCCCAGGGCAGGATGGCTGGGGACCGGGGCGGGGGGGAGGGGGGGTTCATGGGCCTCTCTGGCTGGTGGCAGCTCTAGCCTTCCTGCCTGGGCTTCCTCTGCCCCAGAGGCCCAGGGCTGGGGGAGGAAACGGAGCCCTGGGCTGCTGCAGCTGTGTCCCCAGCCTCTGCCTGACCTCCCGTCTCTTGCCCCTCCCGGCAGGCAGTGAGGACTCTGGCAAGCACTCGGCAGGGGGACCGGTGGCTGGAGAAGGACCCCCAGACAAGCTGAATTTGCCCACTGGGGCAGGGGTGGGAAGCCATCTGTGGAAGCCTTTGCTTGCCCAAAAAGCAGCTAAGGACAAGGTACGGGGCAGGAAGGAAAGGGTGGATAGCGATCAGGATAAAATCTCCTCTCCCGAAGCTTCCACTTCTCTGACAGTGCCCCACGGTACCCTCTTACCTACTTGATTATGCATCAGGACCCCCTGGAAGTGCACATTCTTTGGTCACACCCACACTCCAAATTCTGATTCAGTCCATCCCGGGACCAGCAAGAAACTTGCATTGTAAAACATCTCCAGGTAATTCTGACCCGTTTGCATGGGCCTACCCCTTGAGAAATGTGTCCTACACAGTGCTAAACCTGCTGTATGTGTTTTCATTTCTCTGTGCAGGGAGGGCCCTGCTGGGTGAGTGGGAGCAGGGTGCAGAGGACAGAGACTCTCAGTCCCACCAGGCACTCCCCCCCCCACCAACTAGAGAAGGGACAGACTACTGAAACCTCAAAGCCAGGGACTTGGAGACGCTGCAGAGGGAGGGTGGAGTGAGGGCTTTGTTCTCAAGCCTCCCAGGCTCAACAATGGTACAGGGAGGGCCTGACAACATTTGCAGACTCCGCTTCTGGTCTTATCCTGGGAATGCAGTGGAGTAAAATTGTGACTCTCTAGCTTTGGTTTTGTTTTTTGTTTCTTTAACGCCTCCTTTTAATTTTTTCTTTTCTTTTATGTTACAGACAGAGCACAAGCAGGGCAGAGGGGCAGAGGGAGAAAAAGACTCTTCAGCAGGCTCCACACTCAGCGTGGAGCGGGACACGGGGCTCGATTCCACAACCCTGGGAGCACAGCCTGAGCCGAAATCAAGAGTTGGACGCTCAACTGAATGAGCCACCCTGTGACTCTCTAGCTTTAAACTGGGCCCGGCACAAAGCTAAGTACAGAGAGTGCTGAGTCCTGCCAGTCCAAACTCAGAGTGACCCTGATTGCCCAGAGACCTGACTCTAGCACAGACAGACTCCTGGGGACTCGTAGTATCCCTTCACTTCTTTTTTTTTTATTTTTTTATTTTTGAGAGAGAGAGAGAGAGAGCACAAAGGGAGGAGGGACAGAAAGAGAGGGAGACACAGGATCTGAAGTAGACTCCACGCTCTGAGCTGTCAGCACAGAGCCCGACATGGGGCTTGAACTCACGAACCATGAGATCGTGACCCCAGCCGAAGTCCGATGCCCAACCCACTAGGCCACCCAGGCGCCCCTCCCTTCACTTCGAAGCAAAACTTCCTGAAAGATCTCCTGCTGACAGAAGCATCACTGTTGTTGGCCAGAAATCACAAATGCCAAACTAACTTCAAACATTAACTGCCCACTGTGAAATCTTTAATAATAAGAACTAATCTTCTCTGAGCGCTGCTAAGTACTCAACTTTGACGGTTAATCTAATTTAACCCTCACAATGATCCAGTGGGGAAACTGAGGTTCAGGGATGGATGTTAAGTTTCTTGCTCATCATCACCACGGGTATCCCGATCATCTTGAGGACAGGAACATATTGCACGCTGCTGTTGTTACCACGGGGTGCCCGATGAGGGTTTGTTTAGACGGGAAGACAGAAATCATCTGCTTGCTGCAGGCTTAGTCTTAAGTTGGAGAACCAGAGAAGGGGTGTGCTCAGAAGGTGGTTATCGATCTGTTTCTCAGCGGCAGGACTGGCTCCGCGCAGCGACAATTGTAACAGGGCTGGAAGAGCCTCACTCTGCAAATCAACAGGTCTTACCCACACAGCAGAGGGCTGAGCTACTCATACCAGGCTGCCCCTTACCGTACACAAAACACTTTCATCTGCATCATTTCACTGGCCCTTCACCGCAGCGTGATGTAGCATCACGCCTGGATTTTAGGGTCTCAGACAGAAAGCACAGGCAGCACAGTACAGCACCAGGGTCAGGATCAGGCAGACCTGGGTTCAAACCCTGCCTCTCCCACTTAGAACTACGAAGTTTGGGGCAAGTTACTTAAACCTTCTGAGGCTTAGGCTTCCCTACAAAAAATGAAAATAACAAGTGTTCATTTCATAGGTATCATGTAGTAGAATTATTCAGCCGAGTACTAAGTGGCACACAGTGAGCATTTAACAAATGTTAACCAAAAACCCAACAGCACCATTTACACCATCCACGGAGCTTTGGACAAGCGACTCAGGTCTGAACCTCTTTAGTTTTCAGTAGGATGGGCGTAATAAACCTCTTCTGCTAAACTGTGGCCAGGATTCCATGAGAAAAATATAGCTAAGCGTACATCTAAGAGCACTCAAATAAATGGTATCTATTTTTGACAACCCCATGAGATGAGAGGACAGGCACTAGGACAAATGGGACAGTGAGGGATCAGGGAGGACAGACCCCGACTCAGCCAGAAGCTGCCACTAATAGAGAAGGTGAGTGCTATAGTCCACTATGCCCCTGTCCTTCAAGAAGAAATTGGGGGGGGGGGGCAGCCCAGAGATGCGCTTAACAGCACTGGCCTCCAGGGCAGACTGGAAGTCTGGGGTCCCAGCCTACAGGGAGAAAGGGAAACCCTCTGGCCTGGATCTCCAGGGAAGGCCATGGCATGGGGATTATCTGACCCTACAGGGTTGGAGGTGAGGTCTGCAGGATGGAATTATCCTTAAGCAAGAACCACAAAGGCTAGCCTGGGAAAGGTGGGCTTCAAGGGGAGGCTCAACACGGTTGCAAGTAGACACTCCCTCCCAGGTCAAGGCAGCTGCCTGGAGGGACACGCGACCCCTTCCCTGTGAAGCAGAGCAGGAATCCTTCTGCCCCTTTTACAGATGAGGAGAGGAGACAAGAGAAGTGACTGGCCCAGGGGCCAGAAGTTTTCTGATTCCCAGCCCAGGTTTGGCCCGGCCCGCTCCAGGGTCGTGGGCAGATGTGCGGGGAAGGCCAGGGGCAGCCTGCCCTGGTGGGGAGCTGGGACTGACCCTACGGCGACCTCTGTGAGGCGTCCTCTGGGATCCGCCCCGAGAAGGGCGCGTTCGGGCTCGGGGTCGGGCCGCCCGCGGACCTGGACTCACCTCTGGACCCGCCCTGCGGGCGGCGGGCCGGGCGCCTCCCCTCCCGGCGGCGGCCGCGGTGGCAC